TATAAACTATTCAAACCCTTGGTGAGTTTGCTTGAATCAAATTTGTCCTCAGTAAAAGTTTAAAAAAGAATTTTGGATGGAAAATTTTATGATACAGGTCTCATTTTGAAATGTGTACTATATGCCTCCATTACTATCTTAGGGCTGGTTTGAGAACTGAGTTCACTTTTTGGTTTTTTGACTTTTTTGACTATTTTAGCTTGGGCTAAAAAGCTTGGTTTGTGAAGGATTTTTTGACTTTTTGACTTTTTTTTTGTGAGAGAATAGTGTAATGATTATGGGTTGGATGTGATATTTTGTTTGTTGTGGCCAAAATAGTCTATTTTATCTTTTGTAATTAAAATAATCAAAAAAACTCTTGCCAAACAGAGCCTTAGCCAAGAGTGAAATAAGTACATCTTTGTTGGCCCACCACTACTATAGTGGGGCTATATATTTCTCAACTTACTAAACATTATGATATCCCAAGTCTAAACCAATTCAGTTTCCTACCCTCTTGATGAACACTAAGGCAGTTCCATTACTCCACTTCTTCTACAAGTTTTGATATCTCCAAGCTACAAGTCTCCTTAGTGGTTTGAATTCCGTTCTGCTCTCTATGTTCTGTAAGTTCAAGATACCTAATATTTTATGCTATTTTGATTCTTCTTTATAAATTTTCTCCACATATATGTTAGATGTGGATTTTACCATCTAAACATTGAATCTAAACCATACATTATTATTGTTTGTTGTTCAGAGGAGAAGTCCTTGATTTCTATTTACACATTGATTTTACTGATTAACAGAAAAATTACGAAGAAAAAAAAAGAGAAGGGAATAAACTTTTTTCGTGGTTGATTGTGTTTTCAAATTTTTTCCTTTCTTTGAAACATAAGCAAATTGTTTTCAAAACTTTTTTCTGAAAAAAAACCCCCACTTTTTTTTTTCCATTTTGTTTCGAAACAGTAGTTTTCCGAACTTTTCAAACTTATCTTCCCTTTTTTTTTTTTCAAACACACAAAAACAAAAATGATAATAAAAATAAATAACACAATACAACAACAAAAAATACCCTCAATTCATGGATGGGTGAGAATATATGCACACTCATATACTTTTGCATTAGATTTGAGTTTTTGTTTGGGGGTTTTAATTCTCTCTTTATTTTTAAATGTAAATCATGTTGTTTAATTTTGATAATGTCTAAAATATTATTTGATTTTAATATACATATTTTATAATAATTTGACACAAAATATAAAAATGTATAAAATGTATTATATTTTTTTTATACATATTGCATCAAATTCAAATTTATTTTGTATCTTTTAATAGTTCAATTGTATGCAAGACACACCTACATGATGAGTATGATGAGCCATTATTTTGCATCATGTGAATATATTATATATATTTATATATAATATATAATATATAATATAATACTCAATTGGTTTCTCAGGCCAAAATTCTTTTTATTTAATTATGTTTAAATGTGTACATTGCATATATGAAGTTACACGTATATATGATGTTAATTGCAAAAATATATTTATGGTATGTATCTTTTAGAATATCATTTATATTATAATTATATTATATATACATATATATAATATTATATTCAAAAGTTTTGACTACCAGGGAATGTAAGTTTTTGTATTATATTTATATAAACTATTCAAACCCTTGGTGAGTTTGCTTGAATCAAATTTGTCCTCAGTAAAAGTTTAAAAAAGAATGAGTGTGGTGTGCTCATTTTCACCACCAAGGATCCTCTAGAGTGAAATTTCTCTAAAGTTTCTTAGAGTGCTATATCGTGTGGTTGAGATTTACTGGCAAGTCACATCAGAAAAATTGATGTGACTTGCCAGTAAATCTCAACCACACAATGTAGCACTCTAGGAAACTTTAAGGAAAAATCACTCTAGAGGATCCTTGCTCCATTTTCACAAACTGTCTGTAGGAGCACTGTATGGTGATGGAGTGTATGTTCTGGCAGAGGAGCGTCTCCTCTCCCAACGAATATATTTTTAGGTATGAATAGAAGTGTTTTGTTTAGATAAAAATTAAGAATTTTAAGATAAAAAAAATCTATGTGTTCTGAAATTATGATTATATTTTTCACTCTATTCTTTCACTTTTCAAATCTAAGTGTTGTTTTATACTTTTATATCTACTATTTGTGAGAAAATTATTATAAAAGATGATTGAAGTATCTCTTATCTTTATTCATTATTTTGTGAGAGAATTTTGTAATGGCAAAACATTTATTGTTTAGTGAGGCTCAATTGATAAGAGTAAGACTCGTATAAAATCCACAAGTTTGGTGAATGTTTGGTACTGTATTGATTTATTTTGATAGTGAAGAAATTCTCAAATTAAGGAGAATACTTGGGGAGTGGACTTAGGTCCGGCGTGCCGAATCACTATAAATCACTGTGTTTGATTTTTTTTCCCTATCTCTTTTACTTTTATATTGATAATAATTACTCTGTTTTTTATTTGTTAAAATTTGAATATTTTGATTATTATATTTAAATTTGTGAAATTATTTTTAATAAACCAATTCACCCCTTCTCTTGGGTTGCCTACCTGAGATAACATTAAACTTTTTTTTATCATTGTCTAATTTGTGCATATATTCTTAAAATTGAGTGTATTAAATTGAATTATACAATTCTTGATTATATTCCTTGATGTAATCCTAACTTTTCTTGACTTCATTTTACATAATGTTTTATTTATCATATTTTTTTCATGGGTAATTTTTTAGAAAGTCTTATTTCTAATTGTTATGTTCCATTTAACTCATCTTCTTTTTTTAACAAGGCACCCGAGCAATAAATTAAATTTTGGATTTTCTTTATCCAAAGGTCTAAACGCTAAAAATAATATGTTCATAAGGACATAATTTTGGGAAATGACCAAACTACGCTCATCATGGGTTATTTCTTTGAAACAACTCTCATCTTATCTATTCGAATTATATTCCTCACAATCCATTCTCTCTCTCTCTCTAAGAAATCTCCTCTCTCTCTCGACCATCGCCGCTGCCTGCGGTGGTAAATACCAAATACGACCACTGGCATCATCTCAATTCCTGTCTGTTTCCTCTCCAACACTACCATTGGCTTCATCTTCGACTTCTCTAAGCCACGACATGCAACAGAAGCGTCTTCGACTTAGTGTAGACATTCCATTTTGACTAGTCCTAAGACTTTAAGCACTTGCAAGTCTCTCGATGATGAAATAGTAAATTACTTCATGTTTTGAATGATTAAGGATGTTTGGAGTTGCTACATAAACCTGTTTTGGCCAAGCATAGACTTTTTGCGAAAATTACTATTTACCTCTAAGCCCATTATAGCTTCGTTGTCCAATCATTTTGATTTTTTGCATGAATATTATACTCAATGAATCCAAAAAAGTGAACAGTTTGGATCACCGAAATCAGTTCCAAAATAAGTCTACCAAGTCCAAATATTATCTCAAGTTGAGATGATAACTTGAGAGAAGACAAACTTTTTTGATTTAATTTAGATATTATATCATGTATTAACAACACATCAGTAACTCCCAATTAAGCCACCTCATTTGTCAAATTTTTATTTTTATTTTAGTGACTTTTTAAAAAAAAATTATGTCAACATTTATTTATTTATTTTGTCGATCTTGTGTAGAAGAATCTACAAGATAATTTTTTTTTTGAAAATTTTAAAAACAAATTGAAAAAGTTAAAGTAAGTTTTTTTTTTTTTTTAAAGTTCATTATTTTTTGCTTATTTTTGTCTTTTGTGAAATTATTTAATTTTGTAATTCGTCACCTCAAGTAGAATTTAAAAGCATAAATTTTTTTAAAAAAATTTATAAAAAAGACAAAAATAAACAACCAAAAAATCACAAAATGAAAATAAAAAAATTCCAAACACGCACTTTGTGACTTTAATGTTATCAATTCTCCTATTAACATAGGAATCAATCATAGAATTACAAATGAAATACATTTGAATATACAAGATTTTAGGAAATTTATTTGTGGGTCTATTTTTTTCTTAAAAAAAAAAAAAAAAAAAACCCAGTTCATGCATATTATGTGTCTAATTCTATAATTCGTTTAGGGTTGAGTTATTTGAAGTTTAAATTTGAACTTGAGAGAATTTGAGGGGCTCGTAGGGTCCCCCGGTCCAGTTTCAATTATTCAAATTATTCAATTTGTAAGGTTCTTCGTATATATTGTCCATGGAAAATGAAATCGATCCAATAATCATAACATTTTCATTTTATTGTATTTGTTTCTAAAAAATTAAATGTTTTATTTAAAAAAAATATACTTAGTTGTCTATTTTTTTGGCTATAAATATCATAAAATAAAAAAAATTATAATTATCAAATTGACCCAACTTTTTCCATAAATGATATACACTGAAAGTTCCATAAAATAAATAATTCAAATCATCGAAATAACATCCGATGAGCCTCATTAGCCCTCAAATTTTTCTCAAATTCGTATTTAAATTTGAAAGAAATCCAACCCATTGGTTTATGTGTTGGGTGACTTATTAGTATATTATTAGAAACCTCTAAAAAAAAATTTTTTTTTTCAAAAAAAAAAAAAGTGGGACTACCCTGCATGCAATACAAATTTGCCATGCACAAAAAGAAGGAACAAGTCTCCTCCGACTACGCTCAAAGTATAGCTTATATTCATACATACATACATTTTAAAAATGAATTGGTTTCAGTTGTGAAACAAATCATGAAGATCCAAAATGGAAGCCACAAAACTCTCCACAGCTTACAGAAAGATCGGAGGAAAGCCGTTGCAGTATTATGACATGGTGCTCCTACCTCTCCAAAATGTATTAATACCTTGTAAATTACCACTCCCATCACATGAGAGAGAGACAGAGACAGAGACAGAAAAACAAGCCATGAAGACTTCAGGATCCTTTCTAGTGTTAGTTGTCTTCCTCAATCTCTGTTATGCTGCTACATTGATCAATGCATCTGTACACGATGATAGAAAGGTATGTTGGCTGGTTCAGATTCATTAACTCTGTGTTTGGTTCAATGATTTGGGAAAAAAATTGAAAATGAAAGGAAAAACATGCGTAAAATTAGATGAAATGTAAATATATTTTATTGATATTTCACCGTTCTTTTATTTTTTCTTTTTCAAATTTCTCTCCAAATCCTTGAACCAAACATAGTCTAAGAGCAATATTAGAGATACCAAATGTCTTACCAAAAATTTTACACAGTACTCATATTGGGTGTGAGATTCACACTCACTTGGAATCTATACTCATGTGATTGTTTGATACAAATTTTAGTAAAATATTTGGAATCTCTAACATTTTTGATTTATTAATGTCCATGGGTCAAATGTCTACGTGTATTTATGTAAAGTGTGATGTTTGATATATGGGAAAGACTATGGTATACACCTTTTAAGGTTTCTATAAATGATATACACTGGAAGTTTCATAATAAATAGTTCAAATCATCGAAATAACATCCGATGAGCCTCATTAGCCCTCGAATTTTTCTCAAATTCGTATTTAAATTTGAAAGAAATCAAACCATTGGTTTACGTGTTGGGTGACTTATTCGTATATTATTAGAAACCTCTAAAAAAAAATTTTTTTTTTCAAAAAAAAAAAAGGTGGGACTACCCTGCATGCAATACAAATTTGCCATGCACAAAAAGAAGGAACAAGTCTCCTCCGACTACGCTCAAAGTATAGCTTATATTCATACATACATACATTTTAAAAATGAATTGGTTTCAGTTGTGAAACAAATCATGAAGATCCAAAATGGAAGCCACAAAACTCTCCACAGCTTACAGAAAGATCGGAGGAATCCAAAATGGAAGCCACAAAACTCTCCACAGCTTACAGAAAGATCGGAGGAAAGCCGTTGCAGTATTATGACATGGTGCTCCTACCTCTCCAAAATGTATTAATACCTTGTAAATTACCACTCCCATCACATGAGAGAGAGACAGAGACAGAGACAGAAAAACAAGCCATGAAGACTTCAGGATCCTTTCTAGTGTTAGTTGTCTTCCTCAATCTCTGTTATGCTGCTACATTGATCAATGCATCTGTACACGATGATAGAAAGGTATGTTGTCTGGTTCAGATTCATTAACGCTGTGTTTGGTTCAATGATTTGGGAAAAAAATTGAAAATGAAAGGAAAAATATGTGTAAAATTAGATGAAATGTAAATATATTTTATTGATATTTCACCGTTCTTTTATTTTTTCCTTTCCAAATTCCTCTCCAAATCCTTGAACCAAACATAGTCTAAGAGCAATATTAGAGATACCAAATGCCTTCCCAAAAATTTTACACAATACTCATATTGGGTGTGAGATTCACACTCACTTGGAATCTATACTCATGTGATTGTTTGATACAAATTTTAGTAAAATATTTGGAATCTCTAACATTTTTGATTTATTAATGTCCATGGGTCAAATGTCTACGTGTATTTATGTAAAGTGTGATGTTTGATATATGGGAAAGACTATGGTATACACCTTTTAAGGAGTGTGTATTACATGCACCTTATAATTAAAGAAGAAAATAGTATAATTTCATACTTTCTGAGTCACAACTAAAAATAAAAATAAATAATAAAAAAATGTTGTAACCAAATATTACATGAGGTGTAACTAAATATATCAAAATAATGTCACAACTAAAGAAGAAAATTAATCGTAATTAAAAAAGAAAATAAAGTAACTCAAGCTGCACATGGTATGTGATGTGTATTGTAGAATTTTCCATGATATACATGTATATCTTTCAAAACTTGTTTTTGAAAATAAGTGAGAGAATTAATCAGAAGTGATAGCCAAAGGTGATTATCAGAGGCTCACGAGAAGCATTACTATTTGTTGGTCAGCTACTATGGTGGTTGGTGGTCAAAGGTGAGGGATTCGTTAGGTAGTAGTCACCGACAATAGTAGTAAGAGAGGGTTGTCTCGTCGGTGACAATGGCGAATGATGGTAATGGGTGGTGTCCAAAAGGGGTAAGGATGGGCGGAATGAATGAAAAATTGTTTTCAAATAAATGAAAATAGTTTCTTCTTTTATTTTTATATATATTTTATAAATTGTTACATTTTATTTATTTATTTTAAATGAAAAAATGAATTTTACTTATAAACATAAAAGTTATCAATTGGCCCTACATATTTTTTGTTTGTAAGGTCTTATTCATTTCTAGTCAAGAACAGTGGCAATTTCATAAATTTTTGTAAGTAGCGATATTTTTATTTTGGTATTCTGAAAAATAAAAAATTTGAAAACACATATGCTTTTAATATCTTTTTCATCAAATTTTTTTTGCTAACGTAGTTTTTAAAATTTTGAAAAATAATTCCTAAAATTATTTTCAAATGAAAAAGAAATCTCAAAATACTTAGTCAAATAAGTTTTCTATACAATTAAATTTTCTTCTTAGCAATTTGTCAATAATAGTAGATGGGAGACTAGTTCATCCATAGAGAAAATAATTAGAAGAATTTTTTTAAAAATCTCTGATATCAAGATTTTATAAGATAAATGACATACAATATTTTCATAATAATTAAGGTCCCTCAACATTTTTATAGAGAAAATTTGACTTAGAGAAATTTCGCCTGACTCAAAGAAATTTCGATCCCGATACAAAGAAATTTTAATTTTCATGGAGAAATTTCAAAATTTCTCTGTTATGATCATAGAGAAATTTCATCGAAGAACCTTAACTAATAAAAATAAACATCTTGGACCTCTCCTAGTACACAAAGTTAGAGAGAGATGTTTCATTAATTTTTCTAAATAATTATGGGTCTTATTAATGAGTGTTCTTAATTCACAGATTAAGATAATTAAAAAAAATTATACATTTTTTATTACATACATTTTATATAGAATGTACAATCTTTTTAAATTTTTTAACATATGTCTTAAAAATATATGTTAGCAAAATTTAATAATTATACCAGTAAGAAAAGAAAACTTATTAAATGTCATTGGGACACTGCTCCATATCAATCACTGATTTTTTTTCTTTTTTAAATTATTAAACCTTTTACATCCCATGTAATTTTCAAATTGGCATAATAAATCTCACTATTTTTTAAAAAATATCCCTAAACATGTCATTTATTATATAAATAGACATAAAAAACAAAATAAAATGACAAAATAAATTCATTGATAATTAATATTTCTCAAAAGATAAATGTAACATTATTTTTGCTAAGGAAGTATGCATGTGGACCCACACTTATGTGGAACCCACCCCATATAAAATATTTGGTAAAACATTTGATAGAAATTTTAGTATTCCTAACATTACTCTTTGGAGAATAATAATAATAATTAAAACTTTATGTAGAAAAACTTTACGTATTAGGTTAGGTCCACTTTTGGACTAATAGATTAAAATTTAAAATTTTTATATCATCTATTTGTTTAACTATTTATTCAAATATCTAATTATTTATTTAAATGTTATATATTTGTACACGTGTCACTTATCTGTTCACCTCATCACCGCTAGCCGTTGTTGCCGATGAATTTGCGATGAATTTTTTTGATCAATTTTCTGGTGACTTTTCAATGTGTATTCTTATCACTAAAAATATTAAACATTGAACCAAATAACATGACTCCATAAAAATGATTTTTTCACCAATTAACCCTTATATACATTAATTTTCAGGGATTCTAGTGAACCCTCTCAATTCAACATGGTGTTGCCACCAGTCGAGATTATTCTTAACATCTTTTTTCTTTCTTTTTTTATTATAAATATTCTTCTTTTTCTTTTCTTTTTTTCCTTTTTAAAATCCAAAATTCTAAAATTTGATGATGTGATTCTTTTCATAGACATTGATCACTTAATTTCACAATGTGTAAAGAACTGGAGATCTCCACCATATGCAAGAAAGGGGCAAAGATAGAATACAGAACACTGTTGATCCATTCTTGTTTTATGGACAGTCAAATACTTGAATCGAAGGGTAGTTAAATTAGTTGAAAATCTCTCTCCCATGGTCTCATGGGCTGTCATTTGTATAGTATCTAATTTTAAATTTTACTTGATCAATGCGTTTTTTCCTTCTCTTGATTAATTTATTTGAGTCAAAATTTTGAAGTTATGCTAATTGTTCCTACTGATTGTTTTTTTTTTTTTGGTTTTTTCAAATTTTGTTTTGATGAACAAACAGACATATATAGTATACATGGGAGATCTGCCTAGTACTACTACTCATACCAGCCTCTCTGCTGTGGACGAACACGACAGCCTTCTTTTAGAAGCAATTGGAGAGTAATTCAATTTCCTATCCTTTAAACTTCACATTATACATTAGCTTAGCATACTATTCTATGGGTCAGGCCAATAAGGTTGTGCAAAAGTAGAAAATTGGGTTTTATAGATTCCTATTTCACATTTCAAAGTTTTATTACTGTTGTTACTGAATAAAAAAAGGTTTGTAAATTTCATCAATAATATTGTATTTGACATTTTTTTAAAGAAAATTGTATTTGAGTTGGACAGTTAAAAAATAATTATATTTTCATGGATGCAAGTCCCTCTTATAGCTAGCTCCGTTTGGGAAGAGCTAAACTAAGCTTTTTTTGGCTATTTTAACCACAAAAGACAAAATAGATTATTTTAGCCACAAAAAACAAAACATCACATCTAATCCATAATCATTACACTTTTCTTTCACAAAAAAAGGCAAAAAAGTCAAAAAGCCCTTCCTAAACCAAGCTTTTTAGGCCAGGCTAAAATAGCTAAAAAAGCCAAAAAGTCAACCCACTTTCCAAACGACACTTAGTGTAAGTCTTTTCTTGCATTTGGTTGTCAAACTCGTAACGAAAAAGATTTTGTGTGCTATTTCTCATTTCTCATGTTACATTTTATTTACCATATATTGTGACATATCCACCACCATTGATCCAGTAGATCTTGCATGAGTTTCGTTAATATCTAACACTTGTGAATGTAACATATCAACTAGTAAACAAAATGTGGTATAAAAAGACAGTAGCTGCAGCATTTGGTTGAAATTTTTAAAATCAAATTTAAATAACCTCTTACTTAATTTAATTCAACTTGTTTACCATCCTAATTATTATTGTTAGGAAAAGGCCTTTTCTTTGACAGAATTGTGTGCCAAGAACTAATGCTAAACTTACATTTTGCAAACAGTGAGAAGATAGCCAAAGGATCGAAGATACACAGCTATGGAAGGAGCTTTAATGGGTTTGTGGCAAAGCTATTGCCACATGAAGCAACTAGATTAGCTGGTACTTAAAAATTACTAGAACAATGATATCTATGTTATTTTTTCGAAAAAATTTCTATGATATTAATTAACATATGTCTCTTGATGTTAATTATTATGCAGAAAAAGAGAATGTTGTATCAGTGTTTCCAAACACTGTGCGGGAATTGCACACCACAAGATCATGGGATTTTTTAGGAATGCATGAGAAAGTGAGAAGGAATGATAAAGTTGAGAGCAATCTTATAATTGGTATCTTAGATACAGGTAACCAAGATATGTTTTATTCATCATTAGGGCTATTTTACATAACTCTCAAAAAGATAAAATCAAATTTAAAGAGAAATTATTATTAAAAATTTTAAAAAGATAGAAACTAATGTTGTTAGCATTTGCCTAATAATAATAAACAAATATCTAAAATTTTAATACTAAAAAAATTTGAATTAACTGAGCACAATATCACTTAAATATAATACAATCTTCTTATATTTTTAGTTACAAAATTGAACAAAAAAACTCTTAGCTTGATATTGAATTAATTGTTATAATTTTTCTTGTTTTTTTATTTTATTTTTATACCTACATAAATACTTTATAGGTAAACAATTCAATCCACAATCTAAAAAGCAAAAAACAATCCAAATTCTTGACATTTCAATTTTGAAGTAGAGTTAACAAACAAGTGAAGTAAAACTTGGAATGATACCCAAATTGAAATTTGAAAGCATCAATAGAGAATACTAAAACCTAAGAAATTTTCATCTCAAAATGAGAAATTGGGCTAGAAAAATTTGGTGAAGTTAAAATCAATTACTTTGGGCTTTGCTTAATAAAATAGTGTTGTTTTTGAGTTTGGTATCAAGGACTAAATTTAGTTGGGTTTTAAAAAAATTAAAATAATAGGGTTCATCAATAATAAAAATAATTTGTTTTTGAATTTGGTGTTGAGGGTGATACTTATGTGAACTTGAATGGCTGCAATGCACCCTACATATATAGTAGCCACTGTTGTTCTGCCGTTTGGGCCTATTTTGGATTTTATTTTGTTAATTTGAGTCATCACTTTTTAAAATATATCAAGTATAATATATTTGTAAAAAATTAAATTCATCGGATATCAATTACATTTTCATTTAGTTTTATTTCTTAAAATCATATTTACTATTCATTTTTTCAGATATAAATGTGATTTAATGAAAGTGCTACCAATATCCGATCAATTTAATTTAATTTAATTTTTTCAAATATGTTATACTCAATATATCTTAAAAAATGAATACTTTAAATTATTAAAATAAAATCCAAAACGGACTCAAACGTGTGGGGTTCACAATAACCACCAAATCCCTACTTAGGTAGGTTTTGACAAAACAAAATCAAAATAAAAGGAGGTTTCTTTAATTGAGACCCAACAAATATAATTGTCTTCCGTCTTTTATAAAATTTATCTGCGAGAAAAATGATATTCAAGCTTAAAAATAAAATTAATTTTTTAAGTCAAATGATAGAGTAATTTATTAGAATATTTAAGATAATTTTATCTCATATCTGTTTTAATAATCAACCAATGATCTCTTTCATATTTTCTAGAAAGTCATTTAAAAATTGAATTTATCATATTTCTTAGCCCACATTTGGAGCCAAGCTTTTTGGGTTTGATCAAAGTCACTCCTCAGAACATAAACCAATCATAAGCTTGGGCACATGGTATAAAAGCCAAATCCTCTCTCTCTGTCCCCTCCTTCGCTGCAAGCAATCCCTCGACTCGACTAGGCTCGACCTTACAGTCCGTACAACAATGGAAGGTCTGGCTCTGCTCTCTGCGCACTACGCGAAACTTGACCCAACTCCACATTTCAGCTCAAACCCCAAGTGGGATTCAGTCCCATCTCCAGACTGATCTCGTCACATACCCCAAACACAGCTCCACCCAAGCCCTTCCCTATGGGTACACCAAATTCTCGACCTTTTCGACAATTCATCCAACATGGAGGCACAACTTAACTTAGATTGATGCTTATGGCTGCTAAAATTCCTATCAAGTTGGCGCCCAGCGATCGGCAGGCAATTTCGATGTGGTTTGCGGTTCTTCTACTGGATATTGAATGCTATGTTCCTTTTATTGATTGATATACGACTATTGATATCTATTGAGGAGTGTATTTGGTGTGTTCTATTGATTAAATGTTTCTGTGAAGCCTAGACTGTATTGAAAATCAAATAGACTCTATTGAATTTAAATTATAATGCTGTAACAACACTAGAATTATGAGATAGAGAGTTGAAATAGAGAATGAGAACAAATGATCTGAAGCTGATGTATGTGTTCATATAGTAACACTAACATAGAATAGATATCATATATTTAACAAATGAGAATGTCATTTTTTTTTTTTTTTAATGTATTTCTGAGTTGGATGTCTTTCTCTGATCTTTTTGTTGTAGGAATTTGGATAAAGTCACCCAGTTTTAGTGATGTGGGCTACGGACCTCCTCCATCCAAATGGAAGGGCAAATGTACAAATGGAACTAACTTCATTGGATGCAACAAGTATGTTCTCTCTCTCTCTCTCTCTTACCAAATTTGTGTCATAGTCAGCGGTTATGACTCCAAGAATATTAGGTCTTCTAAGTGAAGGGGGCTGTCAAGGGGAGGGGATGGAGGAGGAGAGAGGGCTGGAGAGGGGGCGAGGGGAGGAGAGGTTTCAAGGGGGAGGAGAAGAGGTGGTAGGTAGCCAATGGGTTAGGGTCAGAGTTACAGTTGAAGAAAAGGGAATTCTGTAATTTAGGTGGTGTGAATTCAAACAAAAAAAATCAAAATTGCGTATGTATGTATGTATTGAATATTTTGTATGAACTGAGAGAATGTACATATATACACAAGCACTTCCTTTTAGTCCGAAATTCAACAAACATAACCTTACTTTATCACAATTTAATAAAATTGGTCATTTTCGACCTCTACTGGGTACCCATTAATGAATTTCCCAAGCAAATATTCTTGATTTTTATGGGCTTTTAAACCTTGTGAATTATTGAGTAGTTTCAACTACAAATATGTCATAATAGTTAGATTTAATTCCCATCTAGTCCTATTAAAAATAAGTTATAGTAAAATTGTCGCTGAAAATAATTTTTTGTGACAATTTTTTACTTGTCTTGCTAAAAATTGACAATTGTTGACTTTTTTGTCACAGTTTTTATAAATTATCGCTAAAACTTACAATTAGTGACTTTTTTCTGTGATGAATTTTTCAAACTGTCGTTGAAAGTTGAAAATTAGTGACGATTTTTTTAAACTGTTGCTAAAACTTATAATTACTAACATTTCTAATGACAATTTTTAAACTGTCACTGAAAATTAACAATTAGGGATGTTTTTTAATAGTGTTTGATGAAAAACGCTATTCATTATCATAAGATCTATTCGACAATAAGTTCACCTATTAGGATCTATATGTAAGTCCCCCATTCTGCATGGGATTATAACTTAAGCAATGATATGTATCACAAATTTTTGTGGGGAAAATTAGTAAAACACCCCTCTCCAACTTTGTGTGGTATGAGAGGTCCAAGATGTTTTTTTTTTTAATTAACTAAAGTCCCTCAACATTTTCACAGAAAAAATTCGATTAAGAGGAATTTTTCCTGATTCAGAAAAATTTCACCCAACTTAGAGATCACAAAGAAATTTCAAAAATTTCTCTGTAAAAATTAAAATTTCTCTGAGACGAATTTTCTCTGTAGAAATATTGAGAGACCTCAACTACTATGAAAATATGGTATGTCTATCTTATAAAATCATAATATCAGGTATCTTGAAATAAATTCCATTTTTTTGTACAAAATCGTCTCAAAAACAGTGCTAGCCAACTGGTTGGTCTATCCTAACCTTTGCCAATCAGCCAGCCACGACATTGAGACAATTTTCACGAAACATCTTTCCGTGACTTCGACCTACTTAGTACCCATTAATGATTTTCCCTAACAAAAATGCTTGATTTTTATGGGCTTTTAAACCTTGCGAATTATTGAGTAGTTTCCAAGTAAATATATCATTTTGCATGTGATTATAACTACAGCAATACTATGTATCACGAATTTTTTTATACACAATCGTCCCAAAAACCGTAGCCAGTCGACTGGCTGGTCTATCCTAAGCTTTGCTAATCAGCCAGCCATGACTTCGAGACAATTTTCACGAAACATCTTTTCATGACGCCTAAACTTATTTGTATAACTTTGAACCTCATTTCAACGTGGGCAGTAAGGTCATCGGAGCAACATACTACAACCTGGACAGCGGCCCGGTAGATGATCTGAGTCCAGTAGACAACGACGGCCATGGCACACACACTTCTTCCACTGCTGCCGGCATACCTGTCAAGGGTGCAAGCTTGTATGGCATAGCAGAAGGGACTGCACGTGGAGGAGTCCCTTCTGCTCGTATTGCAATGTACAAAGTATGTTGGGGTGTTGGTTGCACCGACATGGATCTCTTAGCTGGCTTCGATGCTGCTATTGCCGATGGAGTCGATATTATATCGATCTCTATAGGTGGAACACCTAGACAATTCTTTGAAGATCCTATCGCCATTGGAAGCTTCCATGCCATGAAGAATGGAATCCTCACTTCTTGCTCGGCAGGGAATTCAGGGCCTGACTTTGCATCCATCCAAAATGTCGCGCCATGGATCATGACAGTGGCTGCAAGTAGCATCAATCGACAGTTCAAGACCACTGTTAAATTGGGTAATGGACAGAATGTGTCTGTAAGTTTCTGTTTTTCTCTGTTTTTCTCTTTGTAAACCTCTCTCTCTCTCTCTCTCTCTCTCTCTCTCTCTCTCTCTTATATGATCTCTTTTTTGGTTGGTAGGGAATTTCCATCAACACATTCTCACCCAAAAGACAAATGTATTCTCTAACCAATGGAGCCCATGCAGCAAATTACAGTGACGGAATATATGGAAATGTCAGGTACAAATTGCAAAGAGAAAAGATAGGGATCATGAAATTTTTTTCATGAAACTGATCATGAAAAATTTATGACCCTTAGATTACCTTGATTAGTGTGTGGTGTTTTATTTTAAGTGTAATCTAAGAGTCATAAATCTTTCATGATCATTTTCATGAAAATTTTTTCATGATACGTAGCATTGCTCGATTGCAAATTGTTTGAAACTGTTTGTGCCCAAGGAAAGGGGGCAAAAAATCCTTTTATTATAGTATTAATTAATAATTTTTTTTAAAAATTATACAGACTCACCTCTTTTCTTTCATTTTTGTATTTTTTTAAATAAAAGTTTAAGTAACTGGCCCTTTAGATTTAAAAATAAAATAAAATAAAATAAAAAATTAAGAGAAGAAAGCAGAGGAGAAATCAGCAAATTACTATATTTATTAAGGAAGACATTGTCGATTCTATCAAAGATACGATTAATGATATCAAAGAGCATTGACAAAAAATCAAGGTGCCTCATTCTAGTACATAGATTGTCGAGTGGTTGCTATTGCTTGAAGACATTGTTGACTCTATCAAAGATACATTTAATGATATGAAAGAGCATTAAGAAACACTTAAGGTGCCTCATTCTAGTAGATAGATTGTCTAATTGTTGCTATTGCTTATTTGTATATATTTTTATCTTATTCTTTATTTTTATTGTGGTAAAAATTGATATTGTAATTGATATGTTCTTTATAATTTCTTTTTTGGTTATTATATTTATTTACCCTATACTAAAATCATGAATCCATTCTCTTATGCTTGTAGGATTTGAAAAAAAGTAATAGATAGGCAACCATATTTAATTTAACCAGAAAAAATAAATGGCATATCTTGATCACTTTCCTAGTGAAATAAATTATTCAAGTGGTTAATGATATATATTAACACCTTTTTTACAAAATTTTTATATTGAATGATGTGGTTGTGGTTGTGGTTGTTTTAAACCTAACCAAAAAAACTTTCCATAATGACTCATAATTTTGAAAATTACATTGTCACAATAAATTTTATGTACCAAAATTCCATTTGTAAATTATTATTTTTTAATTTATAACACTGACAGTACTTAGCCTTACTAATTTATATCAGGTTAATTATTTTTTTAGTCTTTAAAGTATATTGTTTGTGTCATTTTAGTTTTTAATGTTTAAATTATATCAATTTGATATCCATTGTATAAAAAGTATTTCAATTTGGTTTTCCTACTTAATTCCGTCAGTAGAAGCCATTAAAGTTGGGGATAAATGTGAAAACTCATTTAAAAAAAATTTATACTTTGTCTCTTGAATATACGATGTGTCATTTGCGTTTCCAAAATTACACATTCACCACTGATTTTATCGGTGTCTATTGACAGCGTTAGGTTGAGGGACCAAATTGAATCACCTTTTATACATTAGGAATTAAATTGATATAATTTAAACATTAAATACCAAAATAACACAGAAGTCAAGGACTAGAAATATAATTAACTCATTTATAGCACTGCTTGATGTACATATATGTATATAAGTTCTTTATGTAACGGGGACGCCATGTGGTTGAGATGACATGGTATGTCTTTTCACTTGTTAATTGACATATGATAGAAAGTGAAACCGAAATTTGATGTGATTGAACATTTTTGCACCTGAAGGCCAAGCATAAAGTGACTCCTCAAGCTCCACTTTTGTTACATGATGACAGTCTATGAATGAAATGGATACATTACGTTATCTTAATCACGAGTTATACGCGTTACATACAATATTTTTCGGCTTGGAAGAGCTGTAATAATGACACTTGTATGTAAAATGATTTGGCAGTGCATGTGATTGGGGAACTCTGAGCAAGAGTATGGTAAAGGGGAGGATCATCTACTGTCTTGGAACTAGTGGCCAGGATTCCACCATCAGAGATTTGGGTGGGGAAGGAATCATCATGGCAGATGACAACTCAGACTTAGCCTTCCCCTTTCTTATTCCAGCAACTATAATGACTGTTACTGAAGGAACCAGGATCGACCAATATATTAACACCACTAAGTAAGTTCTTTTACTTCCATTTATTGGAGTAATATTAATATTATTATATTATATACCAGAATTGAACTATACAAAAAGAAGTGTCCTTTTTCTAAGTTTGAAATTTGTTCACATACTATGAACAAAGTATACTCTTCCATTGGTTAATTTTACATTTTTTTGTAGGACCACTCTATTGATTCAGCCAATAAAAAAATGTGTTTTGTTCACTCTCTTTTCTTTGGCCAAATTAATAGAGTAGTCCTAAAAAAAGTTGCAGAATTGACCAATGAATTTGAATTTTCAACTGGCTGGGTTTGAATAATTGAAGTTTCTTCCAAAAATATGTTGTGGAGAGGGCTTGAACATGGAACCAAGTGCATAAACAGCAAACACTCAAAACTCGTAAGCCATCGACACAATTGTTGACAATGTAATAAGTATATATATTATATAGTCAATATTATCTTAATTATTTTTACTAATGTATAAAAAACGTAAAATAAATTTAAAGAAATATATTTTTTTTTGTAATTTTAATATCTATATTTTTCATACTTATAAATTTTAATATATTTATGACATAATTATGACATCGCAGTTCAATTCCGGTTCACCCGCGGTTGAACCAATGACCCATCCGCCCGGTCACTTTTCCGGTTCGCTCACTGGTCCGGTTTTCAAAACATTGCTCGCAGATATATTTTCTATTATTGTTGAATTTTTTGTTACATTAAGCTCTGTGATTTCACTCTTAATCTCTCATGGTGGCTATCTTTCTCACCCTCTCACTTATCATTGTATCTTCACAAGCATTTTCTTTAAGCTTTCTCACTATTTTATTTATTTATTTTTAGTTTATTTATTTTAACTTTCCCACTCTTGGAAGCTTTGTGCTTGTACAACTCAAGTCATGACACCTAATTATACACAAATTAGGATAAGAGAAACTATAATATCATGCACCAAATTGTCTTACATGAGTATAAAAACACCAAAATATTTTTGTGAGAGAAAAATATGTGACACCAACATTTGAATACCTGACATTAACAGTATTCTTAGGATAGATTCTAAAAATTCTAAAAGACCTTGACTCCTCTAGCTATTCACCAACTCTGTGATATATCTTCCACATCATTCTAGTTATTAGATTTTATGTTTTTTGAGAAATCTGATTTCTTCTCCAACATTTGCCACTACTAGAAGGTATAAGGAACCATGAAGGAAACTAATCAGGAATTAAGGAATTTTGCATTAATTTTATGGAGAGAATTGGAATACAGGCCTGTTTGGTTGAGTTTTTGAATCACTTTTTCACAACCCCAAACCCAAAACCAAAAACCTCACGACATATAGCTCAAAACTCTTTTTAAACCGAAGTTTTGAAACCCAAAACTTGTTTGGTTGAGGTTTTCACAAACAACTTTTCAAAACCCAATCGATTTTGTTTGGTTTTCAAGGATTGGCCAAATAATTTTTTATGTTTTACATGTATATGATCTAGATATACTTAAACAGTAAATAAAATATGAAGAAATCAAAACAAATTTAATAAATACATAAAACATTAAAATTGTATTAGTTTTTAAACTAGATGAATTTTTTATTTTTGTATGTTTGTCATTATTCAGTAATTTTATAGAAGTTTTTCATAAATGTGAAACGCTTTAAATGTATGTAAATTGAGTGGATATAAAATTAGAAAAGTAGTGTTAAAAATTTTAAAACATTTATAAAAATTAAAAAATACAGAGTGAAACTATGCCGTATAGATTAGATTAGATGCATTTAAAATGTACGTTTAGATTATGTATACGAAAGAAGTAAACAAATTTCACTATAATATTGCAAGAAAGTTTTGACTACAAGACAAAAAAACACAAGATCCAAAAAAACTCAAAAACTAGTTTTGAAAACTCATAATCAAACAAGTTTTGAATTCAAATTTCTAAAAACTAGTTTCAAAATATACAACCAAACAAGTTTTTAATTTTTAAAACTCTTTTCAAAAATCCAAAACCCAAAACTGATTTCAAAACTAAAGCAAACGCGGCAACATTTTGAAATGATAATGTGATGATTAACATTGACACTATGAATCTCCTGAGTTCTACTGCTTGTAAGATAAATTGATAGAGAGAGAATTACAGAGAAAATAAATTGTATGTATTATGATTGATGATTTATGAAGTGATTTACAACACTCTCATTTATAGAGAGTAAATAGGGTACATTGGATGCTAACCCACCGAAAGCATAAAGATACAACATTATTTATACAACAACATGAGTAGGACAGCTAGATAGTGCAGCTGTATTACATTAATATTACACTAATAACACTAACAGCCCCCCTCAAACTCAAGGAGGATAGGTACTAGCCAACTTGAGTTTGGAGAGAGTAACAAAACAGGAAAATAAAATAAAAAATAAAATAGGATAGGAGACACTGTATGGTCGTGTCAGATCGTTGTTGAAGACACTGTGTGGTCGTGTCAGACCGTTGGAGAAGATAAGGTCTGGACAGTTTACGAGGTCATGCCGGACCGATGTAGAAGCCAATGTTGTGACAGTTGACAAGGTCATGCTGGACCGATGTAAAAGCTGACCGGAATCAATGTCGGGACAGTTTATGGGGTCATGCCGGACCGTTGTAGAAGCTGACCGTAATCAATGTCGGGACAGTTTACGGGGTCATGCCGGACCGATGTAGAAGACAGTTTATGGGGTCATGTCGGACCGATGTAGAAGACAGTTTATGGGGTCATGTCGGACCGGTGTAGAAGACAGTTTATGGGGTCATGTCGGACCGATGTCTTTTTTTTTTTTTTTTTTTTTGAATAGGTATGTGATAAAATAAATGAAATTATAAAATCAATGGAGAACAGGTTGGTAGAAGAAAAGTGTAAAAGAAATGATGGGAAATATTAAAATAAATGTGGGATAAATGATGAGTGTAATGTGATGATGAGAAAAGAAAATAAAAAATCATGAAGAGACATGCCAGGTGAGTTGAAGAATAAAAAATAAAGAAGGAAAAGGCTGAAATATTAAAAAAAAAAGATGGTGGGTTTGAAGTGGTGGTCCTTGTGAACAGAGCACTGAACCTACTATTGATGTAAAACGCATTAAAAGAATGGTTTCGAACAGGGAATCTGCTAGACGCTATTAAAAAAAAAAAGGATTGTGGGGTTGCTGCGGAAAGAAAAAAAATATATGTAAATATAGATATAGATAAGATAAAGAGGGTTTGAGCGGTGGAAAAGAAATAAAATAAAATATGATGATAGTGGGACTATTAAAAAAAAAACAAGAGGTATTGGATTAAGAAAAGAAGGCATGGGTGGTGAAAACAATTATGGTGGGGGGACAAAAGCGGCTAAGTTGGTGGGTGAGAGAGAGAGAGATGGCCGGGTGCGAAGATGGTGAGTGTGTGGGTGTTTACTGTGGCTTTTTTGATAAGGTCCAGATACTAAAATAGTACTTCTAGGCAGTGGAAATAACAAAATCTTATGATATGAAAAAAGTTCTCCAGTGCAGCTCCATTTGTGCTTGACTTCAACCACTTAGCGATACTTGATGAAACCGATTTCCTTGGCGTTGCTGCGGAAGCACTGCCTGCAACACATGAGACCGTACTTCCTGATCAACCCATGAGGGTTCCCACAGACGCGGCAAGTACGCGATCCAGGGCCATAGGGCTTGGGATGCGAGTTCCAGATGTTCGAGTGACCCATCTTCTCTCAGAGCTGTGTAGTGTTGTTCTTCAAAACACTAGCTAGATTCGGAGACGATGACCAAAATTGAGGCGGTTTCGGATAAAGCTCGACGAGTAGAAGGAGGTGTGAAAGAGATGGCTGCGAAAGCTAAGGGTGGTGCTGGTTGGAGTCTCTGCAAAGCGAGGGACTTGGGGCGAGTTCGAACACCAAGAGAGGACTGAGAGAGAGCCGTGGGCCTTGGTGATCGATGGCGCAAGTGGCGAAGCCGGACTTGGCGAAGAGGACGGAGGTGAGCTGAATGAGCCAGCTCGACTCGCCGGTGAAGCCGTGGACGACGGCAACTATTCCGATGATTCAGTTATGGGATTTGTGGCAGCGGAGTCAAGGTATGTGTAGAGGTCCGGCGGGCGGCCAAGGCGAGGCTGCCGCCCGCCGGTGAAGCAGAATGACTAGGTTGTTAACCGCAGAATGACTAGGTTGTTAACCTAGCTCTGATACCATGTAAGATAAATTGATAGAGAGAGAATTACAAAGAAAATAAATTGTATGTATTATGATTGATGATTTATTCAGTGATTTACAACACTCTCATTTATAGAGAGTAAATAGGGTACATTGGATGCTAACCCACCGAAAGCATAAAGATACAACATTATTTATACAACAACATGAGTAGGACAGCTAGATAGTGCAGCTGTATTACATTAATATTACACTAATAACACTAACACTGCTAATACAAGCATTTGGTGAGCTATCAACTTGACATACTCATCATCAGTTGCTATATTAGTAGAAGTATTCTTTTACTTGCAAATATTTTAAACTTTGCACATGATGATTGATTACTAATATATTCTTCTCTGTTGCAATTTCAGAACAGCCAGAGCTGTCATATACAAGTCAACAACTGTTAACATGACTGCCCCTTTTGTGGCTTCTTTCTCTTCCAGAGGACCCCAGTTAATCACTCCCAACATCCTCAAGGTAACACCCCCCTCCCTCCCTCTCTCTCTCTCTCTCTCTCTCTCATATATATATACACATATATATAAGGTAGTAATTAAGTTTTGGTGGGCAGCCTGATATAACTGCACCAGGGCTGAGCATATTAGCTGCATATTCAGAGTTGGCATCTATAACAGGAAACCAGGATGACAATCGGTTTGTGAAATTCAACATAATATCTGGAACATCAATGGCTTGCCCTCATGCCGCAGGCGCTGCTGCCTATGTCAAGTCCTTCCATCCAGACTGGTCGCCTGCTGCAATCAAGTCTTCTCTTATGACCACTGGTAATACTTAAAAAATCCTAGAATTTGTGCATAACCATACTTGATTTGATGCTAACTTTTGCGGCTGATGGTAAAATTGTGATCATCATGAGCACCCAATCACTGTTTGGCGGATATAGGCTTGACGCCAGGTCTACTAATCCCCTGTTTGTTGCAGCTTAAGTATTCTAAGCTGAAAGCCGATAATCTATATGCAAAAAAATCCAAAAGTTTCTCCAGTTTCAAGATCATCATTTTTTTCTAAAGAGTTATGCTAGGGACTCCAAATATTCTACCAAATCTCTCACATGGGTGTGGGATCAACACACATGTGGATTTATGTGAGTCCTATCCCATGTGAGAGGTTTGGTAGAATATTTTGGATACATAGCATTTCTCTTTTCTAAACTTATTTAAGTTATTTTTACCTTATGAAGCATGGTATTCCAAAAATATTGCTGTACCCAGTACAACTACTCGTATCGGTACAGTTGCATTAGTATTGGGTACACAAAATACATATTTGATATGTGAAATACGGCATAGTTATGTTTCAGATACTTTTGTGGGTACTTTAGAACATAAATAAATATATGGGTACTAGAAAAATTATATTGTGCCTATTTTTAAAAACTTTAAAAGAAATAGAATATTTTGGCAATTATAAAAGAAATAGGGTTCTTTTTCTGATCATTACTATTACTTTCATTATTTTTAAAATTAAATTTTTAATTGTAATGTCATGTACTGCTACAAATGATATAAATATATTTATTTATGGATGTACTAGACTGTTTTCGTATCTTACTCTTATTTTTATAAATTTTGACATATCAGTGTACACATGATGTACGCGTACACACACCCTGCTTCGTATTTTTTACTATATAAGTGGTAAGTAGAAGCTTATGATCGCAAAATCACCACCAAAAAACAAATAAAACATTTAAACTGCATCAAACAGTACCACCCCCATGTGTTTGCTTTCAAGTTTGGTAATCTCATAACATGTACAAAAATGCACTCATCCTATAATCATTTTTTTGCCATTTTACTCCAGCAAAAAGAATGAAGATCAAGCAGCGGGGTGGTGCACTAGGCTCCGGCTCAGGCCAAATAAATCCAACAAGAGCAATAGATCCAGGCCTCGTGTATGACATTCAGATGAGTTCCTACCTTAGTTTCCTCTGCAGGGAAGGTTACAACAGCAGCACCATCCGCCTCCTCACTGGCGGCAAGAAGCTATACAACTGCTCCAGCTTCAAGCCTGCCCAAGGAACTGATGGCCTCAACTATCCCTCCATGCATACCCAAGTTGCAAGCGGTAATTCCAGCATTTCAGCAGTATTTTATCGGACAGTGACTAATGTAGGATATGGCAATTCAGTCTACGTAGCGAGAGTGAAGTTGCCTAAAGGTCTTGATGTTACAGTTGTCCCCAAAACTTTGTCATTTAAGCGGCGGCATCAGAAGAAATCGTTCAAGGTTGTGTTGAGAGGAAAATTTATGAATGATAGGGCTTGGATCTTGTCAGCATTGTTAGAGTGGAGTGACTCTAAGCACACGGTTAGGAGTCCTATCCTTGTGTGTCGGTCAACAACATTTTAGCATAGTTTAGGTTTAGGGCCATGCTTGCTAGATACACACATTGCCCAAACATGGCCTTGTGTTTGTTTTCACTTATTTCCTATTCTTTGTTTCTTGTAATTATAGGATTAATAATAGTTGAGAAATTTGGATTCTTTTCAGACTAGTGAATGTTAGCAGTACAATTCAAAAAAAAAAAAAAACCTAGACATTGATTAACAGACGGCTAGAAAAAGTGGTGAAAATTCAAAAAATGTGATGAGAATTTTTTTGCACTTGATAGACAATCCACTGATCCCAACATCTGTTAATATTAAAACAAGCAAATAGGCATCAAAATTATGGAAGGGGGAAAAAATAAAAATAAAAAGGGAAAAATATTTGTGTATAGAAATGATGCACAAAACAGACAGACGTAGCACAACTTGAGTAAAAATAAATAAATTGTCTTTTATGTTTCACAAAGTGGTTGTCATCAATTTTGTACAAGCAATCTCACACTTTTTAACAGCCAAGTATTTTCAATCCACAAAATATAGCCCCTTCTATGCAACAAAATGGATATTTTAGTGCAAATATGGATCATCAAACTTTGTTGTCTATGAATCAACAGAATCGTTGAGCAATGTACACAGACCCATAAGCTATTTTCGTTTTCGACTCCCTACCACACAACAAAGACATGATTGAGACTACATTTGTCAAAGTTGAAAAATCTACAAATCTCCTAGATATTGATTTGTGATTATGTATCAATTTTAATCAGTAAATAGCAATCCCAATCAAACAATTAAAGGCAAATCAATACAATGATTTTACGTAGAAAAACTACAATTGGAGCGCCTCTAATTGTGATTAAAAAAATTTTGGGTAAAAGCCACAAAACAATCCACTAAAAAGAAATAAAGGAATTACACAGGTATGCTCTCAATTACTTAGCGAATCCACGCCCAAATTGAACCAACCCCTATGTGCCTCTTCCAGCCCGTTTTCACCTCGGAATTGTCTTGCCCAACGTTGAATCCACAATGCCGATGTCGAATCACGACGATGAGCCACTTCAAAATTCACCAAAATTTTAGGTTCAAATTCTCCAGAATCCACCGAAGAACAACTCTCTCTTTTGTATAGAATAAACAAACAATCCTTTGACGTATACTTCTTAAACCATGAGTTAAATACTCAATCAAACATCAAAGAAAACTAACAAAATAGCTCCAGATATAAACCCTAATTTTCAAGAAGAAGATCTGGAAGCGTAACCTTAAAATCTGACTGAAACACATATTTATAGCAATCTGTTCCGCAATCTCCGCTTGAGCGCCGGAATGGCCGCTCAAGCGGACCGACGCTCGAGCACAGGAAATTCCGCTCGAGCGGGAAAAAACATCTTCCAGTATTTTTGCAGGCGATCAAACTTTTGGAGCCAAGATTTCTCCACTCAAGCGAGGGAATGTTTGCTCGAACGGACAAGCAACTTCGAATGCATTTTTGCATTTTGCTTTCCCGTCATAGTCAGCGAAGTGGCAATTATGAAAGAATTAGCACCACAAACTTCTCTGCAAGGCACAATTCAAGTTGGATTCGCATCTAAAAACTCATAGCCTCAGTGAAATAAAAGTGCGAAACCAAGTACAACTGAAAGGAGTTTTGTCAAACAGAATTGCCAACAATAAAAACCTAACAAAAGTGACATCCTTCGGATCTAATTATAGTGGTGACGCATTTAGATTTTTGGTAAGAAAAACAAGATCCAACTTCAATTATCATTTTAACTACGAATAAGATCTTCTCCAAGTGCTTGAATTACACAACACACAATCTATCTGTGCTTCAAGAAAATGGAATCAATATCAGTAAAAATTTGAAACAAGATTAAGGGAAATTAAGATGGAGATGGATTTAAAAAGCTCAAGTGACATACAGGCGAATGTGACGCAAGCCCAAAGAAGTCGACGAGAAAGAATAGGATTTCCAGAAAACAAAGCATGAAAAGCTCTGTAAATGAATTTTATTTCTGAACAAACAGAGAATTCCTATCTTATTTATAGCCTGCGCAGTTCAAGAACCGTTTCCTGCTCAAGAATAACTAACAATTTGACTCACTTTTAACTGAAACTTTGAACTTGCTACCTACTTATTATTTCAATTCATCATAGGTTCTCCTCAGCTATACTTCTAGTTCATTTACATCAACTAAAAGCCTCTAATCAAGAAGTATTAGAAGTTGGAGGGGAAGAAATACAGACTTAGACACTGGAGATCGAATGTCCATTATAGAGATCTGATGCAGGGCAAGCTGTAGGTGATGCAAGACCAGCCATCCGCCTATACCATGATGGCGGTGGAGTTCTTGAGGAGAGGTTGACAAACTCAAGGGCCTGTACTCTCAATTCTACAGGGTATTCAGCAACACAACCAATTCTCGGACCAGCGCCAGTTGACCACTTCCGCGAGAGTTGATGACCTAGTTGATATGAACTGGCTGCCTTCTTGGAATTAATTCTTTCCAATATAGCTTTCTAGGGCACCTCAGCTCTTGGGCTATGAAGACCGCCAGATAGAGTCCTGCTGTAATTGCTTTTGGTTTCAGTTTCTGGAGCTTCAGTCAGTTCTAAGGTTATATCTATTTCCTCTTCCTTCAGAATATGAAGTTGATGGAATTCTGAATTTGTTGAAAGTTCAGCTGCAATTTCTTCTTTATTTTGCTCTCTTCAAAAATTTCATAATCCTCATTTGCCTTGCGTATCTGAAAACAAGAGATCAAAAGAAAATTTACCATCAGACAAATTGTGGCGAACAGGAAAATATATGGATATCCAAGTTAGAAAAGTACCCAGAATGTACGTGTCAGCACGGTAGGCATACTAAAATTATCCTTATTCAATCTTCAGAGATGGTCACTGACATGTACTTTCTTGGTACTTTGTAGTTTAAGTATGTGTATGTAGACTTAAAAGATATCAAGAAGCTCTACAAACTAAAAATATGCCAATTGCCATGAAAGGCAGGAGGAAGCTATATGACAGCTGAAAGTACACCAACAGTCAAGGGTATTTCCAGGTGTCATATAACCAACTCAGGGCTCATATGAAATCTGGTGTTTAACCAGCTTATCTCTTGATGTTAACCTCAAAACCCTTTTTTGAGGATTCAAAACAAGTTTGTACTGCACAGGCAAGAAGTTGCACCTTATAGCCACCTCCCTTGCAGGAAGTTTAACACACTAATCAACAGATCTATGAGAGTAAAATGACACAGTAGAAAAGAGTATCACATACTTCGATTTCATCAAGGTTCACTCCATTTTCATTAAGAAGTGATAAAAAGTTGTCAAGGCTGTCATCAGTTGGCCGGTAATGTCCACTGTATGGTGATATAGACTGAAAAAATAAATAAAAAAAGTCACAGATCATATGCTAGGGAATATCTATCAGTCAACTGTGATACTTCATTTAGATGTATGCACATGTGCCTGTATACATATGTTTTGCTGAATAGAAAATAATGTCTGTTCACCAGAGAAAGGGTATCAAAACCTCTATAGAAAGTTGAATTATCTAATTGTGTTTTAATATCAGTTAAACAAGTCTTAAAATTATTTTACTTCTTAAAATAAGAGACTTCAAAGATTTTAGAGAGAAACCTAAGTTCCGTGAGCATAACATTCTAATATTTTACACAAACCAGCTCTCCAGTCTTCTCTTTTTCAAGGGTTGTTTCAAGCCACTCTTGACCCTACTATTGACCAACAAAAAAAAATCAGTTAGATACTTGAGCAGCTGCCAGTAGGAATTGACATGCACATATATGAATGGGTAGTAGACTAGTAGTTCATTCATTTGCCAGACTATGCACATTTGACGTGAATTAGAGCTTTACTGATTACAGTAACTAACAAAGGCAATAGATTCCTGTTATGCTAAAATTGGAAGTTCTAAAATGTACTTGTTGTGACTCATCATTTATGATGAAATAATTTGTTCAACAAGGCAATGCCCAAATCCAAAAGACTGAAATACAATAATTGATCTTCGTTTTCATCTGCTAGAGAAAATCGTTAAAAGCAGTTACAATCAGTCAACAGACAGGTGTGAAGATTTTCCATGAAATTGACAATAGTTGAATTATTTTTAAAAAAAATTAGCAAGGATTTTCAAAATCATGTCATAATTGTACAACCATGAAAGGATCCATGAAAAAACTGATGTTGAACTTGGGTCTTTTTCAGAAAAGCATCAACTACCGTGACTCAAATTTTGAGAATCATGGATGGGAAAATTGAGTTAGAAATCAATTAGAATCAAATAACAAAGAGACGGAAAACACACACAAATAAGTTTCAACATGCACAATGAAAAATACTATTACCTTAAGTGTTCCATCCTCTACCTCAAGCCTTCCAGCAGCTAGAGTAGCCCCTCCAGAAAGGAAGCTGGAATGATGAAAGAGTCCTTTCTTTTTCTGAAAGTAATAAAAAAAAAAAATTAAGCTTCAAACCACAATGAAAGCATAGAAAATAGAAGAAAACTGGCAAACCAATTATTATGTTGTTTATTTTAGGTCTCACCTGACCAGCATAAAGTCTCTTGGAGGTGCTCACCACAAATATCCATTTTACCCGTGGCATTCCCTTGATTGTATCAAGAAAATTTCCACTTTGTTTGTTCACTATTTTCCCCTCCACAACAATATATTCATATTGTTCTCTCTCTAGCTGATTTTTCAGCAAAAATCAACCACATTAAAAGAAAAGCAGTAGTACATTAGTATCGAATGAGTTAGAACTAACAGCCAGCCATGCAGTTTCAAATAATGCAATCAGAAATACAATTTTCATATGGAGCTCCAGCAATAACTGAAAAATGAGAGCACATACAGGTCCAAGATATTTGGTGCATAGTTGCCGAAGCATTGATCTTGGGCAATCTTTAGGTTCAACTTCTTTGCCATCTCCAATATCTAGTCTGCAATAAGTAGAAATAAGAAGGTTTTCAGCATCTGATTTATTTGACAGTAAATTTTGCTTTACAATCCATGCAGCGCCAGAGCTTTAAAGGAGAGAAAAACATAACTAATACAACTTAACAATATAATTTTATTTTATTTTTCAATTTTGTCACTGCATTTGAGATTCCATTTTGCATTTCATTCTTATTAACCCCC